AAACACCACAATCAAAGAATAAGGGAAAAGGAGGCATAAATCGTCTAGGGTCTCTCTTAGGAATCAAGTGGCCGATTTCTAGAGGCTAAGGGGTCTTTATATACTTGTGGCTGCTAGGGTTTTAGGTGGAAACACTGATCTGATTGCTTAATCCTTAAGCAGTCCATGGAAACCTTCCAAAAGGCCCCTTTGGACGAAATCTTCTATGGGCTTCCCATAGATTTCATGCAAACCTTCCAAGGTTATCCAACAGCCCATTTTGCAACTATCAACGATTTGCAAAATTAGTCCCCTTACTTTTAATCAGTTCCTTTAATCCCAAAATTAACTCCAAATTAATTTCTGATTAATACTAATTAAATAAAATGATTTGTTAATTAATATATTATTATTATAATATATTAATAAACCATTAATTAACCACTTTCTCCAAAACTCATCTTGTATTGTTGCTATGGTGAAGGCAACCAAAAAGGACCATGCTACTATCAAATTAAGTACATACCAATTAAAGTTATGGGCTTAGACACATAATCCAACAATCTTAACCCTAGGGGACCAGATCTATAGTTTAGGGCTTTAGATTCAACTGGAAGGGGATGAATATGTTAAGACTTGGAAAACTCGACGAGTTTCCCTGGCAACTCGATGAGTTGGATCGAGTTTCCCCACCTTCTAGATATTGGGTGAACTGGTGAGTTGATGAGATAACTCGGCGAGTTGGCTAGGGTTTTTCCTAGTTTTTTGAACACTGAAGGAACTCGACAAGTTGCCAGATGCACTCGACGAGTTGGGTCAACATGGACTGTTGACCAAGACTGTTGACTTTGACTTGGACCCGGCTTGACCAAGTTTGACTTCAAGGGTATCATTTTTAATTCAGAGTTTTGTTGAATTAGTTACAGGGTGGTGGTAGGCGATTGAGCTCAAAGTCATGAGTTGGGATTTGATTTTACCGGTTCAGCAATTCTCGAGAGGTGAGTCTCCTCACTATACCAATGGGTCGATGGCACCAAGGCCATCCCATTATGTGATATATGGATTGTCACTGGATTATGTGTTATGTTGGTATGTTATTTGCATGGAAGCCCGGGGGTTCCCATGGCATTAGATTAAGACCATGTAGGGGTTCCCATGGCATTTGGTGTAAGACCTTGGAGGGTTTCCATGGCATCCTAGTATGTTTGTATGTTTAGTTCGCATGATATTTCTTTGGTTAGCAAAGACCATGTGGGGGTTCCTATGGCAGTTAGTGAAGACCATGTGAGGGTTCCCATTACAGGTAGTTAAGACCATGTGGGGGTTCCCATGGCAGTGGGTTAAGACCACGTAGGGGTTCCAGTGGCACCCGATGTAAGACCTTGGAAGGTTTCCATGACATCCTTATATGTTTGTATGTATGGATTATGTGGTATATGTAGCTGATATAGCTAATGTGGTTTATGTGATTATGTAGATTGTGTGGGGTATGCTCTAGGGAACTCACTAAGCATTAGCTTACAGTTTGTTAGTTGTTTCAGGTACTTGAGGATCTAAGGGCAAGGATCCGACTTGATGGCGCGACATGCACTCTTTGGCGATTTGTTTGGGGACACTGTGGTTTTATGAATAATCTATCTGATGTTACAGATTTTGAAAACAGTTGTGATTGGAATTGTATAATTTATGGAAATGAATTTTTAATTAAAAATAAAAACTTTTATTGGAAATTTGGGCTGTTACAAAACTGAAACAGGAAAAGGGTTGAATCAAGAGATTTCTCTTGTTGAAGCTGGAGACAAGCTGGAGATACTACATGGGGTTCACATTTTAGAGCAATTATAAGTTTGTTGAATTTTTTTGCAGAAGTTGTTGCAATCCTTAATTATGTCAAAGAGGAGAGGTCTACTTTATCTAACTCTAATCAAGCAAAGGATACTTTGTCATATTTCAAGACACTTGATTTCGTGTTTCGTTTACACTTGATGTTAGAAATTCTATGCCTCATGAATACCTTGTCAAGGCATCTTAAAAAAATGATCAAGACATTTTAGAAATTGATTCGTTAGTAAAAGAGCAAAGAAAGCATTGTTAGTTTTTAGAAAAGATGGGTTTCCATAAATTTTGAAGAATGTATGTGCTTTTTGTGAAAAGCATAGTATTGGAATTGTGGACATGTCGGAATATTATGTTACCCTACGAAAGCGTAGGACCAATAAGACTAATCAACATCATTTTGAAGTTGTGATTTTTAACACGGTTTTGGATATGCAAATTCAAGAATTTGGAGATAGATTTAGTGAAGTTGGTATGGAGTTAATGGAGAACATGGCAAGTTTGAGTCATTCTAACTCATTTTCTAGTTTTGATAAAGCAAAGTTGTTAAAGTTAAGCGAGATATACAAAAAATATTTTGACGATTCAGAAATGGTGCATCTTAATGGACAACTTGATATATATTATTACTCTTTGCTCCATGATGAGAGATTTTTCAACTTGAAAGGAATTGCAGACCTCTCTCGTTTGTTGGTGGGAACTAGGAAGCACTTCTCTTTTCCATTGGTTTATAGATTATTAAAACTAAATTTAGTTTGGTCCGTCGCAACCGTAGCTGTTGAACGCTATTTTTCTGCAATGAAGTTTTTGAAAACCGATTTCCGTAATAGAATAGGTGACGATTTTATGAATAATGTTTTGATTTGTAGTATAAAAAATGAAGCACTATAGAATGTTAAGACTGAACATGTAATTACTCGTTTTTGCAAATTAAAAGAGCGAAGATGTAAACTTTAAAACGTAACTTTGTTATGAAAGTTGAATTTTATATCTAATGAAATTGCGTTTTTTTTTCTTATAGTATATAACATGATTTCTTTTACGAGATACCCTTTTATTTTGATCGTGACTCTGTCACTACTCAATAATAACATTATTAGTTACTTTATTATTTCAACATTTTTTTCCCTTTTACTTTTCCTAAATTTCAAAGAAGTTTATGCTTGTACATTTAGAGCAAAACGAAATGATGTTGCAGTTTCGGTTTATTTGTTTATTTGTTACAGCTAGTTGATTTAAGATCCTTATTTGTTTTTTCTTGTATACTACTATCTATCGAGTCAACTAGTTGTCATATTTTTAAGTACCTTAATAACTTTTGTTTTTACCTAGAACTCTATCAATTTTTTGATTTCTTCTACGATGATATTAATGTTGATCATATTTTCTTTAGATCTCAACATACCTTAAAAGATAATGCTTATATATAATTAGAAAAAACAACCAAATCATTCTAAATAAATACGAAGATATGATAGTCAACAAATTGGCAAAACAACACATTGTTTATAAAGAATTTGTCACTTGAAACATCATATCATAAATAATTATATAGTCCTAACAAATACACAAAACGTAAAATATGTTATTTATATATTATATAACAGTATGAATATGTATTCCATCATATTTAAATATTTATCTAACATTATTTTAACCGTATAATTTTATTTATATACTAACATACATACATACGTCGAGCATATTATATTTATATAGATCAAGATTTTCCAAATGATTTTTGGAATAATCCCCATCGTATTAAAAAAAACTAAAATCTCCACATCTCACCCCACTACACGTCCTTGTGTGTGGATTCTTTAAATTTTGGCCACTAAAATTATTAACCGGGCCATATCATAAAACTAAATGCATGCCTAATCCTCCTTTTCCACTACTAATGGATTATGCCACTAGCATATTCCAATTTTTGAAAAATACCAAGTGTACAATCTAAGATTCAAAAAAGTATATATATATATATATATATATATATATATATATATATATATATATATATATATATATATATATATATATATATATATATATATATATATATATATATATAAAAGCTTAGGTTAAGACAAAACTGTACAAATGGCCCCTGTGGTTTGCTCAAAATTACCACTTTGGTCCAAAAAAGTTTGGGCTAGCACCACAAGTTAAAAGTTTTCATTTCTTGCATCTTTGGTCGAAAGGGTTAACTTCCGTCTATTTCCCTCTGTTAAGTTATGTTGACTAGTCAATTTAGGGGTGTTTTTGTTATTTCCTATTTATGTCTCTTATTTTATATTAATAAAAGAGAGTTCGTATATATGCATCGCCATCCGGATAATATCGAGCCTAATTCACATTTATAGTCCTTAAAAACCGTGAGTCGATACAATTTCCCTCCTCATTGACTGAGGATCAAGAACCCTAAACTGATTACCAAGGTTGATAACTTCGACCAGGCGACTTTCGTAGTGAATGCATATACCAATGTGGCACTTAAGGTTGTCAAGCACGTCATTCAACCCAAGGGTGGTTTATGGTACGTAATTTTGTTTTTGATCGTTTTCTTGATTTGCTTACAAGAAATCATACCTTCTGAAGCTTGTTTTTTGCTCTTTTGTTGAAGATGGACACCCTGCATTGTTTACCATCAAGCTACATCATGGAGGTGAGTTCACAAAGTTTCCAGATGTCAACTACATTGAGGGTACTGTGACGTACGCTGACATAGTGGATATAGAAGAGTTTTCTATTCATAAGATGGATGCTATTTTGAAAGGGTTAGGATACTTAGTTCTTCCAGTTATCTACTATCATTTTTGAGTGCCAAAAGGAGACATGCACTTTGGGTTACGGGCCCTAGGAAATGATGATGATGTCCTCAATCTTGCCCAGTTGTCAAGGAGCATAAACTGATAAGGGTTTACACCGAACATGGTATTACTAACGTGCTTACTTACTTTATGGCTCCTAAACCTGTAAGAAAAGTTATTATTGAGCAATTAGAGGAGATTGAGGAACATCAACCCCCCCAACTAATAACCAACCCAGTGGCATGCCACAAACATGCATACCACCTGTGATAGCAAATGAAGCTGCTTTAGCCTTTATCGATATCCCCTGAATATACTAAGAAAAGGGAATTTATCAAGGACAAACCATTATCATCATGTATTAAGAAATTGGTCATGGATGATGTTGGTGTTGATAGGATTGGTGGGAATAAGGATGATGCAGCTAATGATATTGATCAGGGATTTAATGAATTTGATGAGGCAGCTAATGATATTAACCATGGATTTAATGAATTTGATAAGGCAGCTAATGACTTTGATCTTGGGTTGTACCAACATATTTTACAATCTAATGAACAAAATGTAGATGATGAGGTTCATGAAGGTGAGGACAATGCAGTTAATAAGGAAGTCACTGAAGAAGAGAATCATGAAAGAAATGAAATGAATGATGAGAATGTAAAGATGAGAGATTTTGCAGTTGATGATGGAAGTGAAGATAAGACAGAGACTGATAAAGAGAATCATGAAAAAAGTGATGAGAGTGAGGACAGTGATGATAGTGATTTCTGGGTGGATGAAGACAACATAATCCCTGATGTAGAAGTAGATATGAGGGATTTTTACATGAATATGAGATTCACTGGATGAGGGTTCTGATATATAGATAGGAAAAGAAGAGTTGTAATAAAGGAATTGGGGAAGGAGACAAAGTGCTCTCAAGGTGAGATACACAAGGTAACTTTTAAGATAGGAACAAAAATATAAAAGTAGGAAGGAGTTAAAGGAAAAGAAACAATTACTGGAAACAAGAAGGAATATATTCTTTGTAAAAAACGACAAAATGAGGTTAAGGGCACTCTGTAAAGGGATTGTAGCCTTTAATGATGGTCATGTGGGTGAATGTACCCATTTTCCTTGGGTGATACAAGGTTCTAGGTCAGATGTAAATAGTACTTGGTTCATAAAAACTTACAACCATAAATATAGATGCCTCCACACAAGAAAAGGTAGATCTGCAGCCAAAAAGTTTATCTCTAAACAGATAATGGACCAGATTGAATCCAACCCAACAATCCTAGCCATAGCTCTTCAAGAACAACTTCAAAAGGAATATCAAGTTGGATTCTCTATTCACAAGGTATTCAGGGCCAAATCTACTGTAAAAAAACTTATCCAGGGTGATTACAAAAAGCAGTATGATGTTCTTAGAGATTACATCATGGAGTTGCAGTCTACTAACCCAGAAACCACTGTGAAGTTAGAGTTTGATTCAGAACCCAATCTAAGTGCTACCTCAAGAAGGTTTAAAAGGATGTATGTGTGTCTGGGTGGAATGAAGAAGGGGTTTAGAGCTTGCCTGAGGGATTTTCTAGGTTATGATGGGGCATATATGAAGGGCCCTTTCCCATGACAAATTTTAACTGTAGTTGGGGTTGAATCCAACAATGGAATATACCCCTAGCTTATGCCATTGTTGAGACTGAGAACACTGACATTTGGAAGTGTTTTCTTAAGTGTATTAGAGATGATCTGGACCTATATGCAAACTCTAACTTCACATTTATAAGTGACAGACAAAATGTTTGTAATTTTTTGTTTATATTTGACATATTTGGATGTACTATATTAACTATGTTTTAATTCCTTTACAGGGATTACAGGCTACCATTTCTCAGCTGTTCCCATGTGCTAAGCACAGGTTTTGTCTTACGCATATACATGACAATATGAGAAAAACCTGGAGAACTAATACGTACAAGGAACACTTGTGGAATTGTGCTACAACAACAACAGTACCAGAGTTCAATCATATGATGAAGGAATTCAGCGTATATGATATAGAAGCTTATAATTGGTTGAAGTAGATTCCCCCAAAACATTGGGCAAGAAGCCACTTCACAGGTATATACTTCAGCTTCCAAATTTACCCTTTTTTGTAGTATTTCTTAGTATAGTTTGATCCTAACATTATTGTGGTGTTTTCAGGTAGAGCAGTTTCAGATATGCTTCTGAATATTCTTTGTGAGGTTTTTATTAGCAAATTGATTGATGGAAGGGACAAGACATTGATAACCTGCTTGGAGTACATTAGGGAGTATATGATGAAAAGAATATACAATGTCATAAAGGTGCAAAACAAGTGTGCCAGTCCTCTAACCCCATCTGCAACAAAGATCATGGATAAGAATGTCAATTGGGCATCTCAGTACATAGCTAGGTGGAATGGGTAAGATAAATACCAAGTGCAAGGGCCATGGTATGATCAACATGTTGTTGACATGGTTGAAAGAGTATGTAGTTGCAGGAAGTGGGAATTAACAAGACACCCTTGTAAAAATGTCATTACAGTCCTAAATTGCAAAGCAGATAATTGTGAGGAGGTGGGAGAGCTGCATACTTATGCCCACAGGGTGCACTAGCTAGAAACATGGAAAGCAGCTTATTTGTACAAGGTCGAGCCTATTAAAAGTCGAGCAATAAGGCCTATAAGCGATTGCCCAATTAAAATCACCCCTCCTTTACAGCATAATCAGCTTGGAAGGCCCAAGAAAAAGAGGAGGCAATCTGTTGAGGAGAAAAGCCAGAAGAAGGGAGATAATGGTCCTAATGGGAGTCAAATCCATGTTACTAGTGGGAGTGGAAAGCTTACAAGAAAGTTTTGTTGGATTAATGTCTAAGTCCATAACTATAATTGGTAAGACTTGACCCGACCCGACATGGTTCATTTGGGTTGCATGGCATCATGCACTTGGATAGACTAAAATGAGAGAAATAACACTTAAGGTTTGTTAATATATTATAAGTTCTAATATATTAATAAGGTTATTTAATTAGTATTGATCAAGAATTAATTTGGAATTAATTAAGTGATCAAAAGGAGACTAATTAAATATATGGGTTGATTGTGTAAATCATTCATTCTTATATATGTGGGCTTGTGATCCAAGATTCCTAATGTTGGACTAAGTCCATGGGGTGACCCATGGATACTCCATGGAGGTTAAAATCCATGGAGCATAAGGAATGGGTAAAGTCATGAGTTACATGGTGTAACCCTAATAGCCACCATATAAAAGAAACCCATGGCTCAAGAAATCGTGACTATGTATGTGTATGAGGGCTAGACGATTTCATGAAGTGTTCTAATATCTCTCTAAGTTATTCCAAGTGCTTGTGGTGTTGTGTGAACCATTTGAGGTGTCACACTTGGGGCACTAGGCACTCAAGCTTCATGAAGACAAGCACTATCAAAGAGGTATGTATTCTATCTTGTTATATCCATTATTTTGTATGCTAGATTAGGATAATACCTTGGATGTTCATATTTGCATGTATAATAGAGAAAACATAGATCCAAGGTATTTAGGGTTGCATGTACACTTAGGAGTGTTAGAATGCTCATAACCCAACAGTGGTATCAGAGCCTAGGCTTGTTTTCTTGTTATACCTGCAATAGAAGCTGAAAAATCGAGTTTTGATGCTGTCAGCCCAGCTGACTCGCCGAGTCCATGAAGGGACTCGACGAGTCCAAGGCAAAATGCATCCAACTCGCCGAGTTGTGTTCATGCACTCGACGAGTTGGACCCCAGACAGCATATCTTCGAGGTTTTTGGCTAGAAATGGACTAGGAACATTACCCTAAGTTGTTTTGAACTTATAAACTTGTTTTTTAATGTGGTAATGTTCATGCTAATCCATTTTCAAAGATAATTGTCAATAGATTCATGTTTTGTATTAGTTTAAAGGTTAGACTAATTACATGAAAAAGTTTGATTTGAATTATCTTGTTCTTATGAGTTGCTTAGATTAATAGAAAAGTTGAATGAAATAGTTGTTTTCAATCCATTTTAATCTAAGAGTTGAGTATAAAATGTGTTTGTGTAACTTATCCTCAAGTTACATGAAGAGTCACATTAAAGACTCATAAAACTCATAAAGTTGGCAAAGGTTACAAAAATGAAGAGTCTAGTTCTAATTAATTGGAGTTATGACTCCATAATTTGTCCTCAAGTTATGGAGGACCAAGAGTCTCTTCATTAAATAAATATAAAAAAAAATAATGTAACCTTAATTAATTTCATAAGTTATAAAATAAAGAAAAAGTTAATTCTTTATTAGTTTAAAGTCTTCCATAATTTGTCCTCAAGTTATGGAACTTGAAGAGTTTTTGGATTAAAACTACTTTAAATACATAAGTTATGGAATTAATTAGTTTTGAATAGTTTCAAAACTTGCCCTCAAGTTTTGGAATTTGTAAAGTTTTCTCTTATGAATACTTTAATTCCAAGTTAGCCCTTAGAATTTTAAAAGTTAAAATTCAACCCTTATACTTTATAATATTATAAGTTAATAATATATATGTATAAGAGTAAAGTCGGTCTTACCGCTAGTACGCCTCATTCACGAAGCCGGTCTATAAGGTGGGTATAAGGTTGTTGCCTATAAAATGGCAACTTAATGGGTGTCCACTCTCACCCACCGCTTGCTTGACTGGTGGAGGGTCGTTAGCCGAACGGGTTTGACATGACTATAATTCTCCCTTCATTAAAAGTATTAATGATAAATACTAAGTAACTAAACTCTTAATAATACCCAATCTTAGTTACTTAGGAAAATGTGAATAAGGTGCTAATCCATGAAATTACACTTTGCACTTTGTTTAAGTCGGTTAGTGGAGCGTGTGTGGTTAACCGGCACACTAACTCGTATTTAACAAGGTAGGCAAAGGGTAACTTAATGTTTATCATAGTATCGATGGAGCGTGTGTGGTTAACCGGCACATCGATTGAGGGGTAAACACTTAAGGGTACCAGTAATTTGCATGGTTACTTCACACCTTGTTTTGTGATCCTCGGCATCCCAGTCACAAAACCTGAAGGGCACACTCGAGATTGAAACATGCCATTGAACAGTTCAATGAATCTCAAAAGATCTAGGAGTTTCAAATCCAATTAAAACCTAATAATACATTTCGTTTATCTTGGTGGAAATTGGTGAATCGTCATTCACCTACCTTCAAATTGTTTTATAGCTTGGATTACGGCATACCTCTTCTAAGTTATAAAATAGTTTGTTGGGTCCTAGCCTTAATATTTCATATTGGGTGTCATATTAAGGACTTTAAGATCAACTATCTTGAATATCTCCCAAAAGATGTCTGGTTTAGACATTTATGATCTTCCCAAATCTCTTGAAACAAGCATTCCTAATGAAGATGATGTCCCATGGATATCATACTTCTTTCTCCTCCTCCAATTAAGGTCACTCAAGCCCTATTGGCAAGTCAAGGTCTAGGTGTGATCACATCTTGGAGATGTAGTCACATATTGACAAGCCGGGAGAGTTGGGTGTCAAAGTCTTGAGAAAGTTGGTGGTTCAACACTTTCTAAGTCACATAGTGAGTTCTTTTGGAACACCTATGAAACAGACTATGACAAGACCCTTAATGATCTTATCTATTTGCTAAGATCAACTTCCTGAAACTTTATGGACATTGACAATAGTGACACAGGAAATCCAGAAAAGCATTCTCTTCCCAATGGAAAGGGATCGGCCATAGTCAACTCGGTTGAACAAATGGTAAAGAGAAAAGCTAAGTCTGTGATAGTCCCGTGTACCATTATCAAAGGGTCCATATGTTTATATTG